GTTTGTTTAAAATAACAGCACTGTAACAATTATGGCTTATGTTTATGAATGAAATGAGTGATAAGATAAGGGACAAGAGAGAAGAATTAGAAATACTTAGGGTTTTGGTGGGGGGCTGTTCTAAGATTTTTTTTTTTTTAATGTTTATTTACTTACTTTGAGAAAGACAGAGTGCTAGTGGAGGAAGGACACACATACACACACAGAAAACTGAACAGGCTCCAGGCTCTGAGCGGTCAACACAGGGCCCAACGCAGGGCTCAAACTCACGAACTGTGATTGTGACCTGAGCCAAAGTCGTACACTTAACTGACTTAGCCACCCAGGCACCCCAAGATTTTAAGTAATCTATACACCCAATGTGGGACTCGACTCACAGCTCCGAGATCAAGAGTCCCATGCTCTACCTACTGAGCCAGCCAGGTGCCCCAGGAATACTTAGTTTTTATTAGGTAGTTTTAATACTCATGAAAAAGTATAGCATTATTTGAAAGTAGACTTTGATTGGCTGTCAATATATATTACAACCACTAAAATAAGTTAAAAAAGTACCACTGATGTTAAGAGAGAAAACAGAGTCATAAAAATGATTAAAACCACAAAAGGCAGAAAAGAATGTAAACAAAGAACAAAGAAACAGGATGAAAACAGCAACAAATACAGTAGCTAGTAATCCAACTATAAAAATAATCATTTTAAACATCAACTGCCTAAATAAACCAATTAAAAAAGAGATCATCATGGGGCGCCTGGGTGGCTCAGTCCGTTAAGCATCCAACTTCAGCTCAGGTCATGATCTTGCGGTTCGTGGGTTCCAGCCTCGTGCTGACAGCAAGTTCTGAGCCTGGAGCCTGCTTCAGATTCTGTGTCTCCTCTCTCTGACCTCCCGTGCTCACGCTCTCTCTCTCTCTCAGAAATAAATAAAAAACATTAAAAAAATTTTTTTTAATAAATAAAAAGTAGATCATCAGACTGGAAAAACCAAGACCCAACTATATAATGTCAATAAGAAATCCACTTTTTTTTTTATGTCTTTATTTTGAGAGAGAGACAGAGAGTGAGCAGGGGAGGGTCAGAGAGAGAGGGAGACACAGAATCTGAAACAGGCTCCAGGCTCTGAGCCTTCAGCACAGAGCCCAACGTGGGGCTCAAACCCACAGACTGTGAGATCACGACCTGAGCCAAAGTCGATGCTTAACTGACTGAATCACCCAGGTGCCCCCAAAATCTACTTTAAATACAAAGATAGGGGCGCATGGGTAGCTCAGTCGGTTAAGCGTCCGACTTCGGCTCAGGTCATGATCTCACAGTTCGTGGGTTCAAGCCCCGCGTTGGGCTCTGTGCTGACAGCTAGCTCAGAGCCTGGAGCCTGTTTTAGATTCTGTGTCTCCCTCTCTCTCTGACCCTGCCCTGTTCATGCTGTTTTTCTCACTCTCTCTCTCTCTCAGGAATAAATAAAAACAAAACAAAAAAATTTTTGAAAAGAAAATAAATACAAAGATATATATAGGTTAAAAGTATAGAGATAGATACAATTTTATTTGTTAATTGTACCTCAATAAAGCTGGGGGGGAAGTAAAGGGATGGAGAAAGATACATCATGCTAACACTCATCGGAAGAAAACTGGAATAATTTTATATTAATTGCAGACAGAGCAGACTTCAGGGCAAGGAAAGTTATCAGGGAGAAAGAAAGACATTACATAACGATAAAGGGGTCAATTCTCTAAGAAAATATAATGATCCCTAATGTGGATGGACATCATCAGCTATCAAAACTTGTAAGCTATAATAAATGAGATATTCTTTATTATATAAATAATATATATAAATACTATATTATAGTGTGATATTGGCATATCAAGAGATAGACATAGATCAGATGATCCAAAGAGTTGAGTGTGCACATAAAAATGTCATACATGACAGGTACAAAGTTACTTTGGTGAGAAAAGATTAGAGTAATTCCATAAATGGTATTTAGAAGACCAATTATATATATATACATATGTATATATATATATAGTAGGGGGAAAAAAGGATCCCTATTTGATACTGTATCAGTCAGAATAAAGTAAGTTATGCTGAACCTTCCCCAAACCACCCCAAAGACATCAGTTGCTTAAAACAAAAATTGATTTCTTAGACACGTCCACTGCACGTCAGCAGGGTGCTTCTGCTTACTACAGTTACTCAGGGCAGATAGAGACTTCTACTCCTAGTTCATTAACTCATAAGAAGGCCAGGGAAATAATCCTATCCCATGCATAGAAGAGAAATCTTTACTAGGCAGCAGTAATGCCAAGGACTAGATGGCAAGTCTAGGAAATCCACTGCCCGTGGCAATCAAGAACCAAATGACAATAATCCCTTACATTTCTTGGCACATTTTTTATTTCCAAATTCCACTGGATTATTTTTCATATCCTCTGAGTAGTATGTACTATTCTTGGCAGACTAATGCTCTAGGTAATGAAAAGCTCCAAAACATTTGCATTCTCTGGAAAACTCAGAGACCTAAATTACATCTCCTCCCAAGGGCATAGTTCTTACATCCTTGGGTACATAGTGCACGATCTCTACAGACTGACCACTTTCCCCTGATAGAGAACATGTATGTTCTGTTAAATGCTTTACATTTATTAACTAATACTCCTAATAACAACTCTGTGAGATTGGTACTATCATTATTTCTGTTTCAAATTAGCACAACTGACGTAAATAGAGGTTAAGTAATCTGTTCAACTGGAAATATGAAATCAAGTAGTCTGGCTTCAGTGCTCCTGTCCTTCAAGGCCCACTTCAAGTTCCATTGCTGGTTCTGCTCCTTTCTTGCTACAGCCTCATCGTTCCTAACCCAGCACATTCCTTGAGTTCTAGTTCTGAACTTACCAAAATCCACCCAAAAGGAAAAGCAGTCTGGCAGAGGAGCCACTTCCCTGAAGAATGAACTAAGCGGTGTCACCTCTGCCTTCCTATCCTCCCAACTCCATACCCCTCTATCTTAGAGAGTCTAACCTGATATTTTAGCCCCAAAAGGCTTCCTGGGTAGAAAAAGAAAGTCAACCCAGAAAAAAAAAATCAAAATTACTTTTGTAAGAAAGATGCCTTCTTGAAGCCTCCTGTCAGTGCCCATGGGCTGCAGGATGTTACAAAAAATATGGAGAATAGGAGAAAAGAAAGGGGTGAGGGATATGAGAATCAGGAATAGGAACAGGAATTAAGATCTATCGACGACTTGTGGTAGGTTCTATGGACTGAACTGTGTCCCCACACCCAATGTGTTATCTTGAAGCCCAAACTCCAGTGTGATGGTATTTGGGGACATGATGTTTGAGAGGTAATTAGGTTTAAATAAGGTCATGAGGGTGAGATCCTCATGGTGGGATCAGTGCTCTTATAAGAAGAGATGCCAAAGAGTTCTCTCTCTCTCTCTCTGCCATAGGAGGATACAGCAAGAAGGCAGTCTGTAAGTCTGTAATCAGAAAGATTCTTAGTACAATCTGACCACACTAGTACCCTGATCTCAGACTTTCAAGCTCCAGAACTGTGAGACAATAGATGCTTGTTGTTTAAGCCATCTGGTCTACAGTATTTCGTTATGACAGCAGGATTTGTATTTTCATTTACATTACCTCACTTAATTTCCCAATTAACTCTATTTGTTTTATAAATGTCTATTTGTTTTCTACTGTCCAATAACTACAAAGCTACTGTTTTTACACTGGCAATGCCTACTCCTACAGAAGACAAGGAGCCCACATCTTAGCTATGAACCCAACTCTGTCAGTAACTAAACATTTCCCTTGGATGAGTCCTTAATCTCTCTAACCTCATATTTACTCTTTTGACATTAAGTACCTAAGCAAAATTCTCTCTAAACTGCTTTTGTTACACGGAGATTATTCAAAATGCACGAAAGGGGAGGAAATGCAGAGATTATTTAGAACACAAGAGGGTTCAGTCTTCCTGCTCCTAAAAAGATATCATTACACCATCTCTAACAAAAAAAGCTGAACAATGTCAAAATAACCTATTCTGACTCCATATCTCAGCAAATCACTTGGGAGAAAAAAGTTTCATGAGCCATTAGTGTATATACCGATATGGTCACTGGACTCAGCTGATCAGTAACTTATAGAAGTTAGTGGAGAAACAGCAAATATTTAGAAGCTAAGATACCAGGATCCTTGGCTTTATAGAGATAAAGAATTCCAACCCTACTCATCCTTCTACAATTCTGAGCTTAACCTGGACTAGAGGGCAATGCTGGTTTCTACTCTAAATTAAAGCAAATTATAGCTGGCTCAAAAAGCAAAGATCCATTTAGTGTTATACAGAACAATTTAATTTTCTAGCCCAAACTGGATTTTAACAACTATAATGGCAAATACCACCTATTTTAGAAATCTGCAAAGAAAAGAAAGAAAAAGCCTCTAATTTTAACACAATGTTATCTAGGGCACCTTTTGCAAATATGCAAACAAGAGACACTGCAGGATATACAGAATCCCTGCTATACTGAGAAAACTTCAAAAGTATGTAAATGTAAGCCAAACCGCTTAGAAAATCTCCACATTAAAAAAAAGAAAAGTATCTGCCAATTAGGTAAAGAAGGTCACTAAAAGTGAACTCAATTACAATTTCCCGTTGAAAGTAACTGTTAACGTAGTTACGGCAGATTTTGCATGTCCTCATAATCTGCTGAAAAATTATTTTAAAATATTATTTCACACACCATTAACACAATGCCAGGGATTTCCTTCAAAAGAATCTGATAGAAAGGGAAGGGGAAAATGTAGGAATGGAAACAAGATAGATGGTGAATTGGTAACTATTAAAGCTAGTAAGGGGTAGATGGGAGTGCACTACCCTATTCTTTCTATTTCCATATCTGCTTGACCTGGTCCCATAAGAAAAGTTAAGAGTTATTATATGCTCTTGATGCACAAATGTAACCCTCTTACCCAAAACAAACAAAAACAAAGAAAAACTAGTACCTTCCAATCTTTGAATTTTTGCTTTCACAGAAATAACAGTTTCAAAGGGTGAAACTCTCAACTCAAAACATGTTCCAGTCAATGTTTCAATGAAGAGCTCCATGGTATCATAGAAAGGAAGTTTGTAGTACAAAGGCCCCAGGTTATCTTCATTGAAGAATGGAGGATCTTTTCTGTTATCCATTACTTTGACTTTTCTAATTCCTCTGGAATGTGTTCTACACAACTGTATTCCAGTTCTAGCCAAATCAGCTTTGAACATTGGTAATATATATCGTTGTTCATGTTTTGAGTTTTGTACCTAAAAAACAAGAATAATTTTTTTAACAAGCCAATCTGAAAAGTCTCATTCCACCATAAAGACTCTCTGAACAATTCTGGCCCATAATCTTCCAGACAGCCCCAGAATTCATTTTATTAGTTAATTTGTCTAATCTTAAACCTTTCACAATTGTCTCTGAAACCACTCTCCCAATTATACTGTAAGATTATTAAGAACAGGTATATTTACAATTCTTTTGGGTTTTTTTTAAATTTTTAATGTTTTTTATTTATTTCTGAGAGAGAGAGAGGCAGCGTGAGCAGGGGAAGGTCAGAGAGAGAGGGGGAGACACAGAATCTGAAGCAGGCTCCAGGCTCTGAGCTAGCTGTCAGCACAGAGCTAGACGCGGGGCTTGAACCCATGAATCGTGAGATCATGACCGGAGCCAAAGTCGGATGCTCAACCAACTGGGCCACCTAGGTGCCCCCTTTTCTGTATCTTTCTAAATCTCAGCACATTTATTTATACATAGTACATAGTCAACAAATATATTATTATTGTTAATAACATTTAAACCAGCAAACTCAATGTGGAGGTATATATCTATCTGCAAGACTTTGTAAATTTTATGCACATCCTTTACTAAAACAAGTAAATTGTTTTCTAACCCACACAAAATATAACTTTTATATCATTGCACCTTTAACCACACTGAAGAAAAGAATAGCAACCATGTTAATAGGTTCCTTAAAAATAAGACTCACTAAGTAATCAATAAGCATTTGGACTTTCAGAGATGATCTATCAGTACAGCACTGAAATGACATTAATACTGGTAACAGACATTAGATGTAATCTCTATACACAAACATACAATGGCTAATGAATATCAGAGGCAAATGCAACAAAGTCCTAAGTGTATAATTAGGAGAATAAGAATAATCAAATTGATAAATTGCTATTAGTCAGTGAAAACTTTCTAAAGGGGGGACTGGGTCTTGAATAGGACAAGTGATACACATCTTCCTGGACAGGTAGGTATATCTTTTTAATGGCTTTATTAAAATATAATTTACTTATCATAAAATTCACCTATTTAAAATCTAAAATTTACTGGTTTTTATTACATTCACAGAATTGTACAACCATCACAATCATCTTATTTTTTCTAAAATTTTTTACTCTTTATTTATTTTTGAGAGAGAGAGAGTGCGAGCAGGGGAGGAACAGAGAAAAAAGGAGACATAGAATCTGAAGCAGGCTCCAGGCTCTGAGCTGTCAGCACAGAGCCCGACACGGGGCTCAAACTCATAAACTGTGAGATCATGACCTGAGCTGAAGTCGCATGCTTAACCAAGTGAACCACCCAGGCGCCCCACGATCATCTTTAGAACATTTTCATCACCCCAAAAAGGAAACCCAGACTCTTTAGACATCACTCCCAAATTCTTCCTTTCCCTCTCAGCCCGAGGCAACCACTAATCTTCTTTCTGTCATTTTGCTTATTCTGGTCATTTCACATAAACAGAATCATACAGTATGATTTTATGATTATATTTTGTGACTAGCTTCTTTCACTTCACATGACATTTTCAAAGTTCATCCATGATTCTAGGATATATCAGTACTTCATTTTTTTTTAGAGCTGAATAAAAGTCCATCATATCATATGGAAAACACCATATGTTTATTCAGTCATCAGCTGATGGACATATTGGCTTGTTTCCAACTTCATTATTATGAATAATGCTATATAAACATTGGATTACAAGTTTTTGTGTGGACATACATTTTCCTTTCTCTCCCATATATGCCTAGGAGTAGAATTGTTAGGGTAGGTGATAACTCCACATTTAGCAATTTGTGGAACTGCCAACTGTTCTCAAAAGTGGTCTGAACCGTTTTACATTCCCAGGGTGCTGATTTCTTCACATCGTTATGCCAATATTTTTGCCTTTTTGGTTAAAGCCATCCTAGCGGGTATGAAGTAGTATTTTATTGTGATTGTGATTTTCTTTCTCTAATGAATAACAGTACTGAACATCTTTTTAGATGTTTATTAGCTATTTGTATATCTTCTTTACAGAAATATCTATTCAGAAAATGTATTCAAATCCTTTGTCCATTTCACTTTGGTTGTCTTTTTATTACTGAATTGTAAAAGGGTTTTTAATGTTTTTTTAGACACAAGTCTCTTATATATGATTCCGAAATACTTTCTCCAATTTTGTAGGCTGCCTTTTAACTTTGACAGTGTCCTTCAAAGCACAAGTTTTTTTATTTTAGTGACATCCAAATTGGCTACTTTTCTTTTGTTCCTTGGACTTTTGGCACACATTTTAAAAGCCTGGCGTAGGGGTACCTGGGTGGCTCAGTTGGTTGCGCGCCTAACTCTTGGTTTCAGCTCAAATCATGATCTCATGGTTCATGAGATGAAGCCCCACGCAGGGCAATGTGGAGTCTGCTTGGGCTTTTCTCTCCCTCCCCCCCCCCCAAAATAAATAAATAAACAAACTCGAAGCCTGGAGCCTGCTTCGGATTCTGTCTCCTTCTTTCTATCCCCCTCTCCTACTTGCACTCTGTCTCTTCCTCTCTCAAAAATGAACATTAAAAAAACTTACTTGGATACACATTTCTAATAATTATATAGTTTTAGCCTTACATACAGATCCGTTTTGAATTTATTTTTCTGGATGGTGTAAAATAAGGATTCACTTTTATTCTTTTGCAAGTAAATAATCAGCTGTCCAAGCAGTATTTGTTGGAAAAACTATTCATTGAATTGTCTTGGTACCTTTGCCAAAAACCAACTGACCATAAATGTGGAGGTTTACTTCTGGTCCCTCAACTCGATTCCATTGATCTGGTACATATCTATAATTATAACAGTACTACGTTGTCTTTTTATCTTTGTAGTAAGTTTTGAAACCAGGAAGTTTGAGTTCTCTAATTTGGTCTTCTCTTTCACGATTCTTGATAATCTTGGGCCCTTTAAATGCATCCACATGAATTTTAGGATCAATTTGTCTATTTTGCAAAAATACCAGTTGGGCTTTTGAATAAGGATTGTGTTGAGCACACAGATTTGGAAAATATTACCATCTTGACAATATTAAGTCTTATAATCCATGAACATGCAATGCCTTTCAGTTTATTTAAATTTCTTAAATTGCTTTCAACAATGTTTTCTAGTTCTTAAGAGTATGAGTTTTGTTTTTAAAAAAGTATTCCTAAGAATTATATTCTTTTTGATGCTACTATAAATGAAGTTATTGTCTGTGTCATTTTCAATTTGTTCATTGCTAGAGTAGAGATATAAAATTGATTCCAATATATTGACATTGTACATTGAAACCATGCAGAATTCATTTACTAGTTCCAATAATTTTTTAGTGGATTCCTTGGAATTTTCTCCATAAAAGATCATGTCATCTGCAAAGAGAAATGTTTTACTTCTTCATTTCCAATCTTGAACATTCCAGTAAAACAAACTTTATTTCCTTTTCTTACCTAATTACTCTGTTTAAAATCTCCAATATAGGCTTGAATATTAGTGGTGAGAGCAGACATTGTTTTATTCCTGATTGTAGCGAGAAATCATTCAGTCTTTCACAAGGTAGGATTTTTTAGCTGTGGAGGTTTCCATAATCTACTCTACTCCTACTTTAAGTGTCTTTTTTTTTTTTTTTAATCATGGTGTTGGATTTTGTCAGATGCTTTTCTGTCCAATGTCTATTGGGATGATTATGTGGTTTATATACCTTATTCTATGAATATGGCGTTTAATAGAACATTGACTGGTTTTGATATGTTGAACCAACCTTACATTCCTAAGCTAAATCTCATTTGCATATGGTGTATAATTATATATATTGCTAGATTTGATTAATATTTTTTGAAAAATTTTCTGTCTATATCCGTAGGAAATAGTCATCTAGTTTTCTTTATATATCTTTGTCTGGTTTTGGTATCAAGGTAACACAAATCTCAAAGAATACATTGGGAACAAAATTAAACAGAAAGTAGAGATATATGTTCTCATATACTCCCTGTCCTCACACACACACAACTTCCCCCACTCTCAACATCCTACACCAGAATGGTGTATTTGTTACAACTGAAGAAACTGGAATGACACATCATTATCGCCCAACGTCCATAATTTACATTAGAGTTCATTCTTGGTGTTGTACATTCTGTTGGTTTCACAAACATATAACGACAATTATCCACCATTACAGTATCATACAGAATAGTTTCACTGCCCTAAAAATCTTCTGTGGCTCACCTATTCATCCCACAACGCTCCCAAACCCCCAGCAATCCCTGATACTTTTACCATTCCCATAGTTTTGTCTTTTCCAGAATACCATAAGTTGCAATCATATACTACGTAGCCTTTTCCAATTGGCTTCTTTTATTTAGTAATATGCATTTAAGTTTCCTTCATGTCCTTTCATGGATAGTTCATTTCTTTATGACACTGAATAATACTCCATATTGTCTAAATGTTCCACAACTTATCCATTCACCTACTGAAGGATACATCTTGGCTGCTTCCAAACTCGAACAATTATAAATACAAGTGCTATAAACATCTGTGTGCAGGTTTTTGTGGATATGTGGGTATGTTTTGTGGATATGTTTTTAATTCCTTTGTTAAATACCAATGAGTGTGATTGCTGGATCTTACAATGTGTTTAGATTTATAAGAAACTGCCAAAGTATCTTCCAATGTGGCTACACCAATTTGCATTCACATCAGCAATGAATAAGAGTGCTTACTGCTCCGTATCCTTGTCAGCATTTGATTGCTGTGGTATCTCGTTAATTTGCATTTCCCTAATGATACATGGTGTGGAGCATAGTTATCTTTTCAATTGGTATAGAACTGATCATGTTCTTTCTTAGCTCCAGGTCCTAGGATGGCTTTTACAGAATAGAATGTCAATAGAACAAAATTACAGAATTAAATTCACTGTCTATAGGAATAAAATTCAGGGGCACCTGCCTGGGTGGCTCAGTTGGTTGAGCATCTAGCTCTTGATATTGGCTCAGGTCATGATCTCATGGTTCGTGGATCAAGCCCTGCATCGGGCTCCATGCTCAAAGTGCAGAGCCTGTTTGGAATTCTCTCTCCCTCCCTCTCTCTGCCCCTCCCCCACTTGCTCTCTTGCACACGTTCTCTCAATATAAATAAATGTTAAAAAAAAAAAAAGAGGAGGAATAAAATTCAGACTCCTAAGAAAGACCCTAAGATCATATCTCACCTTCCAGCCCCATTCTATTTCTACATATGTGTCATCCCACCCTGCAATACCTCTTTCTATCCTCTAATCATTTGCACCTTCAGCTTCAGAATACATCCACTCCTATTCTCATTGTTCCTGCTTTGCTCTACTCACTGCCGTCCCTACACTTGACTATCTGACAAGCACCTAATCATCTTTCAAGACTCAGCTCAAATAGCAACTATTCCACAAAGCCTTTTATGGCTTCGTACCCCAACCTCCATCATATATTGTAACCAGAATAATCAATTTCATTTTTACATGGCTTTCTTATTCTCCTAAACTATAACTACTTTAGAGGAGATCACACTTGATTTTCCACCCTATCACAGTGTTTTGTATATAGTGGTACTCATTAAAGGTTGTTCAATGTAACAGCAATGAATATTCATGGTCTCAACTGATCCTTAGAACAAATCTGTGATACATATATATAATAAAAATATACATATTTATTATACACACACACACTTTCCTGTTTTAGAGATGAAGAAATATTTGGTTATGCTCCAAAAGTTTGGGGGAATGCTGCTTTCCCGTGAGAATCATGTTGTGATTCACTCCACAGTAAGTCCACCAGTTTGTTCCACAGATAACATACATGCACATACAGTGATTTCCGCTATAGGGTGAATTTTTATAACACTACTAGACGCAGAATTAATTAGGGAACCTGAATTGCACTGCAAAGACTGCGAATGGTCCTAAAGAGATGGCATCACAGAAAGAAAAGCTGCTGCTGAAAGCACAGCTGCTCTGAGTGTTTTTTAATACTATTTATCAAAACAATGTGTAATAAATATGACAATACAAAGTATTGTGTTAACAACATTGCTGGTGATACTGGTAAAAGGCTATTACTCTTAAATATAAGCCAAATAAGTGGCTGTATTGTTCAGGTTTTGTTTTTTTATATCTTTAATACACTGAAATGCTTTTATGAAAAATAACTTTTTATGAAGCTAACCCCTAACCTCTTTTTTCTCCCCTCACTGAAACAACTACTTTTATAATGTGATTCTGGGTAACATGTGGACTCTTAAAAACATAACTTAACATGCTACATTAAATAATGTACTGAAGAATTACCCTGTGTGTTTCCCCAAAGTCAACAGCCCTCCTACCTACATAGTAGCAGCTCTAGCAACCAAAGTCAGAGGCCAGGAATGCTGAAATAAACATTACAGAAATAAAGGCATGGGTGACCAGTGCCTGCCCAAGGAATTTAGAGACGGAAGATCTAAGGAGCATTTCCCTCACCACAGTACTCTTCCACAATACCCTGAATATAATAAACAAGCTGGGGGGCGGAGGTGGGGCACCTGGGTGGCTCAGCTGGTTAGGAGTCCAACTTCCACTCAGGTCATGATCTGTCAGTCCACGAGTTTGAGCCCTGCATCGGGCTCTTTGCTGACAGCTCAGAGCCTGGAGCCTGCTTTGGATAATGTGTTTCCCTCTCTCTCTGCTTCTCACCTGTGTGCTCGAGCGTTCTCTCTCTCTCTCAAAAATAGATAAACATTAAAAAAGAAGACGAAGAAGAACTACTTAAAAAGAAAAAACAAGCTGGGGCTGGGAGTGGGTAACAGATTTGGAAGTCCTTCATCTACAATGAGAATAGATAAAGCAATTATGGACTAAAGGAAAAAACAGCAACCCAGTGCAGCACTAAATTACACTGGAACACCCACCTTAAGTTCGGGCCGTAATCAATGGAGAAACTTCTAAAATCCATAAAGGAGCAAGACAGGTAACCAAATTCAAAACTGAAATGTGGGGTGCCTAGGTGGCTCAGTCAGTTAAGCGTCCAACTCTTGATCTCAGCTCAGGTCTTGATCTCAGAGTTATGAGTACAAGCCCCATGTTGGGACGTGTGCAGCCTATTAAAAAAAACCTGAAATGTATGCTTCAAAAATAGTTATACCTCTCCTGAGCAGATTTCTACTGTAACAGAGGACAAAATGAGGCCATAAAATCTGGGTAAGCCAGACTGGAGGACTAGATGATGACAGAGCAACAAATGAAAAGTTCCAGCAGACCAAAGACCTAGTCAGTATTAAAACGGAGGCACCAAAATGCCATGTGGTCATTCTCAACTAAATATACTATGGAACCCTATGATGTTGGAAAACGAAAGGCAATGAAGATTCAGAGACAGGATGGGAAATGTTGCAAGAACATGAACAGCTAAATTATACAAGAGCAAAAGGAAAAAAAAAAAGCGGCAGGGAGAGAAAAAAGTACTTCCAGAATCTTTACCAATTGAAAAACATAAGCTATTAAAAGTAATGGCCTCAAAAAAAATTCCTAAGTCAATGCCAAAAATATATTTCTTCTGAAAAAGTTCTAAAAAACGTTATCAAATATGAGAGGGAAGTTAAAGATAGGTAAGGCACTAATAGCACTGAAGTAAGTAATTTCACTAGCAATCAGCTTTAACCTGTTCTAAAGATTATTAGCCAGAGAACAGCTATCTTCAAAAATGTTCCCCCAACACAATGAGATCCAAAATGTTATGCAACCTTTAAAAAGGCACTGGCTTTTAATAAATTGTTTTTTTACTAATTAGGTGAAAAACATCCCTGTTTTCAACAGAAACTACACATCCAGCTCTTGATTTTGGCTCAGGTCATGATCTCACAGTTCATGAGTTTAAGCCCCACGTCAGGCTTCCTGCTGACAGGACTGGAAGCCGGCTCGGGATTCTCTCTCTCCCTTTCTGTCCCTCCCCCGCTTAAGCTCGCTCTTAAATAAATACTTAAATAAATCAATGAATCATGCTACCGAATTATATCCACCACTTAAATGCATTTGTACCCTAAACTTTTTTCTAGTGGGTCTGGGGAATCCTTGGAAGTCAACGTCTACTCTCGCCTTCAAAGTACACACTCCAAGCCCACTGGGTCACCTGCGCAGCCCGCACTCCTCCAGGATAAACTCCGGCGACCCACACGCACGGGCCTGATGTGGGGGGCAGTGCACAAGCTCCGCGTCAGAATCGGCGACTGGCTGCTCAGCACCTGTCGGACGGGACGGGGCGGGTCACCCGCGTCACTCCGGCGGAGGGACGGAAAGTGAAGACTGTCCTCGGGGAAGGCGCCGCGCCGGTCTCAGGGCGGCGACGGCGGAGGGGGCGGGGCCCGGCTGCCCTTCGCCGAGCGACCGGCGCTCCTCTCCGGCCCGCGGAGGCCGGCGGCGGCAGCGCGGACCCGCTCAGCGGCCCGCAGCTCCGGGCGCCCTCCCGGGCTGTGTCGTCCACTGGCTCGCCCGCCCGCAGGCCTACGGACAGGCGCGGCCCCGCGAGCCACACCGCGGCAGGCACTGACGAGCAACACACCGCCGCCGCCGCGCCCCCGCCCCCTTTGTGCCACCGCCTACCAATCACTCGCCAGCGCTCACGTCACCCTCCAATCAGAGAGGGCGCGGACAGGGGCAGGGCCTGGCCGCCCGACGCCGGCGGTTGCTCGGTAGCCGAGGCTTCTTCAGCGTTCGATGGTGGGTGTCGGTTAGGAGAGGCCCGGATGTTGGCCCTTTATTACTAACAGTGGACACCTGACTAGGACTGAATTGGGCAGGCCAGAGACCAGCCGCATGGCCTCCTGGGAGCGGCGAGATTGGCCTCAGGCCCGATGAGAGTGTGGATTGCACTTTGCCTGACGCCATCCTAAAGTTGCTCTTAGACGTGGCCCAAGTGCTGGGGTGAAGAGGGCACCAAGCAGACACCCTCCAGTTGGTCCTTTCCAGACCCCGTGCAGGGCCGTCCTGCCTTTAAAGATCCCCCTTTCTGTGCTTCACTGTTTCCTAAGTTTCTGGCCTCAATGGTCTCATCTGAAATATGGGGCCATTGTTGGGGCGCCTGGGTGGCTTAGTCGGTTAAGCGTCCGACTTTCGCTTAGGTCATGATCTCGCGGTTCGTGGGTTCGAGCCCCGCGTCGGGCTCTGTGCTGACTGCCAGCTTGGAGCCTGGAGCCTGTTTCAGTCTGTGACTCTCTCTCTCTCTGACCTTCCCCTGCTCGCTCGCTCGCTCTCTCTCTCCTAGAAATAAATAAAACATAAAAAAAAAAAAAAAGAAATATGGGGCCATTGCTGTACACGATTAAAAAGGGCAAAAGTAAATACCCTCTGTTGGTCTCATCTGTTTATTCCTCATCCAATTTATGGACAGGCATTAGAATGGGCAACTTGGGCAGTTAAATTTGAGTTGGGTAAACTCGGCTACACTTTTTTCCATTCTGATTCCCAAGGTGCTGAACTCAAATGTACACCCTAAAAGACAACATAAACCTTTCAACCTGAAATGAGCCCCCACTTTTTTCCCCTCCATTCCCCCACATGTTCTAAATCCAACCCTTAGAGATTTCCCAACCAAACTGGCCTATTTCACCAAGTGAATTACCCAAAGGGCAGTGAACAGTAATCTTCCTCTCAGCTTTATCATCCTCATCTTGTGACTCAGAGGAATGAATCTAAAATGAACCCCAACATCTAATCTCTTCTATCCTTTCTTATTCTCCTGAGACCCCAGCCACCAATAACTCTCCACAATTCAACACTAAGCACGCCCTTGGGTTTATGAAGAGACATAGGACCTTCATCTCCAGGCTCTCAACACTGGTTCCTTCTTCAACTGCAACACTGAATAGATTGGAGCCCTTTAAAGGAAATCTTTAAGGAAAGAGATTTTTTTATTTTATCTCCCTCTCCCTTTGAAACCTCTCAAAATAGCAATTTGCATATTTTCTAATTCTACTTTCTCACGAAATTGCCTAGAATCAATCCTAACGTTGGATAAGTAGATTTGATCATTCCCAAAGAAAAACAACACTTAACAAATGCTTACTGAGTCAGGCTCAGGAACAGGTATACACAAGTAACCTAAGGAACAGAAGGTATAAGCACTCTCTTCTGCCATCAAGTCACTCTCATAGCAGAGCAGCACAGAGAGCTGATCTGTGACAGCTGTACACAAATCTCTCAGAATCAGCAATTCCAAGTTCAATCTTAAAAGTGCCCAAGGAAGAAGGTAGTGCTTTCAGGATTGGTGAAACAAAATGGGCCTGCCTACAAGACTGTGCCACTGATGGGGTGACTGAATGGCTCAGTTGAGCGGCCAGCCGACTCTTGATTTTGGCCCAGGTCATGATCTCATGGTTCGTGAATTAAAAAACTGAGTTGGGGCTCTACACTGGCAACACAGAGCCTGCTTAGGATTCTCTCTCTCTCTCTCTCTCTCTCTCTCTCTCACTCTCTCCCCCCATATCCCACTCTCTGCCCCTCACCCACTCAGTCACGAGCATGCACGTGCGTTCTCTCAAAATAAACATTAACAAATTTCTTTTTTAAATAATTAAAAAAAAGGCTGTGCCATGGATGGGGCACTTGGGTGGCTTAGTCAGTCGAACATCGGACTCTTGATTTCAGCTCAGATCATGATCCCAGAGTCTTGGGATCAAGCCCCACATCTGGCTCTGCACTGGGCATGGAGCCTGCTTAATATCCAATCTCTCTCTCTCATTCGCTCTCTCCCTTCCCCCTTCTGACCCTTGCCCCCACTCTTCCCCTAAAAATAACTTTAAAAAAATAAACCCCAAGATTATGCCATAGTTAGTTTGAATAATTAGCACCAAAGAGGCATAGTCCAAGAAAACACAGACTGGACGAGGGGTTAGCTACCCATGCAGCTAGTGGTTACCACACTGGATAACAAAGTTATAGAATATTCCCATCAGTGCAGAGTTCTATGGAACAGTGAGTGGCTACTCTACAAGAGGACATTTCCATCCTCAGCACTTTTCCTTCCATTATCTGGGTTCATTCTGCCTCTTTCACAAAATAAAATGCATAGCTCCAAAGGAATGGAAATAGATGCCTTAGAGCAAGGGTCAGAAAACTGTTCCTGCAAGGGTCAGATAGAAGGTATCTTAGGCTTTGCGGGCCATCCAATCTGTCACAACTACTGAACTCTGGCATCATAGGTAGAGTGAAAACAGCCATAGACAATATGTAAATGAATGGGCATGGTTGTGTTCCAATAAAACTTTATTTACAAAAACAGACAACAGAGGGCCACAGTTTACCAAATTTTGCCTCAATTAACCTATAGAGGCATTTCCAGAATTCAGCAGAGTCAGAGGAAACCTCCTCTCATATGGGAAAGAGTCATGAGTATATAATCCTATCCCCTTCCTCTATCACCTGCCTAGGCTCTAAGCTAGGGCTTCTATCCATGAAAGGAAGACTCTTGGTCATCTGCCTGCCATTGCTTCCTCTGGAATTCCCGTCCACTCATGAAAGGCACATTGAGGTTTCTTCTCCAACATGCCCTAAATCATACTGTGACCCCATCAAGGCTAATTAAATAAAAATATAGTTAAAAAAAAAACAAAAAACACTGTGAAATACTTATTTTTGTTTTGCAGTATTAAGCATGATTAAAACCAGGGCAGAAAAATACTAAGTATGCTGGGTAAGAAAGGTGTGCTCGTTGTTTCAGTACTGGCTTTTTCTAATTCAATTAAGACAATGAGCATGTAAGACAGCATCACTAACTCAAGGATGTAGCTGAAGAGTGAGATGTGATACCCTGAATGTTCTACTGGCCTCCAAAGGCGTTCAAGGGATCATCAAATATGTTGGACACCTTCTGTTCAGATCTTGGTTCAGGTGCTGCCTGTGAAGATCTGCTTTTTGGTTTGGTTGTCTTAGCCTGGATACCAGAGGAGAAGATATCATCTTTAAAAAGGAAAAAAAAAGAAAACAATTTGCTGAATAGGCCAGAAAATGAATGCTTTTAAGACACATCTACATAAATCACCACACACTCAGGTCTGATAACAGTATGGGATGCCAAGAACACTAAGAGCCAAGCCTCTTAGATTCTGGTCCTGGCTTTGCTAATTAAGTTTTATGATCACATACAAATCACAAGTTCTCTTCGAACACAATTTTCTCAGCTACAAATGTATGTGTGTTCACATGCAGGACAGGAAAAAGGGAAGGATAACTGTAACTCCAATCCAGCCCCTGACTTTACTAACTTTGACATTATACCTACTTCTACATTCTCTTTCCACAAGATTTTAAAAGGAAGGGCAATGCAAATAAGCAAAGGGAAATTCAACATAGGAGTCACCCACTTTTAGAATAAATGTACCTATCTGAGACATGTCAATTATAAGAATGTAAGTCTTTATGATTACACTCGTGTTCAGTTGTTTTACTGACTATAGTGTTTCATGACTTACCTGCAATGTTACTACTAAGATTCATCCTACAGAGATTTGAGCAGTTTACATAGAGATATGTATACACAAATGTTAAAGGCCACGGCATTATTTATCATAAAGAAAGCTTGGCAACAATCTAGATCACTTCCAATGTGCTAATGGCTAAATACAAAAGGATACTACACAACCATTAGCAACAAGGAAGCAGCTAGAGCTCTATGTACTGACATGGGAAGACATTAAGTGACTAAAAGAAACAGCAGAACAGATAAAATATAATCATATTTTGGAAAAAATAAGTATACATTTCTATACAAAGGTGTATTAACATCACCATGTCTAAAAGGATATATACACTCAACACTCAATAATGGTTTACCTCTAGGGATTGTTTTTCACATTTTATAATTTCCAAATAATATTAATCTATTACAACAGGTATGTGTTACTTTTTTTGTAACTAAAAACAAAAACAAAAAACCAGTGAAGTCTCTTCTGCATCCCCTGTGATGGGAAGGAGGTGGAGACAAAGCGCACAGCTTACTCCAGGAATAGGCACCACGTGGCAGTGCAGCAGCTGCTTTCTCCCAATTAATCCCAAGGTCTAGAGCTGGGAGAGAGGGGGAAGGAGGAGAAAGTGTGCATCTGGCCTCAACTCAAGTCCTATCCACCAATACCAAGACAGATGAGACGCCCCACTTGCATTTAGGCATTTGGCTTGCCCATTATTAAAGTACATGTTATACCATGGATGGAAAATGAGCATGTTTACACACACAGAAGATCTTTTATGCGAAACTGAGTTATAACCTGCTTTCATAAATAGTACCACTTTTCTCCTGCACTGGCCCCCTCCATTCTCTGAGCGACTGACACTCACGCTTCAGTTAGAACTCTGACTCAGACAAGTCTGCCCCACACCCAAGGCAGCCAACTTCAGCA